ATCCCCTCCCTCACCCCCTCTCCCTCCTGGGGAACCCAGGACCTGTGCTTGCCTGCTCGCCACTCTACCATTGTGCTGCATCCCAAGCCCACTGCTCTTCCCACCACCCATCACCCCCCCCCTTGGTTATTCTAGCTAAAGGTCTATTTTGTTGCTCCCATCAAAGAACCGATTTTCAGTTTCGCTGACTATCTCTCTTTCATTTCTCCCACTGTAGTCTTGAGTCTCTCTTCTGCTTTCTTTGAAATTAATTTTCACTTCTTTTCTTGAAGAGGAACATGAGGTCACTGTTTTAAATGTTTTCCTCTTTAATATACACATTTACAGTTAGATGTTTCCCCCAGCCTGTCTCCACTGCATCCCCTGAGTTTTGATGTTGTGCATTTTTGTTTCCAATCGTCTCTGAATGTTTTCTAATTTCGCCTATGATTTCTTTTCTGACCTACCAGTTATTTAGGACTATGCTGTGTGAGTTCCACATGTTTGTGAGTCTTCCAGCTTCTTCCCTGTACTGCATTCTAATTTCATTCCTTTGTGGTTAGAGAGCACACTCTGCCTGATGTCAGTCCCTCTAAACGCACTGTCCTGTTTTACAGACTCACACCTGGTCTGTTCTGGAGTACACTCTGTGTGCACTTGAGAAGACGAGTATATTTCACTTTTTTAAATATTTTAGGGCCAGGACGCAGTGGCGCACACATTTAATCCCACCACTCAGAAGGCAGAGGCAGGTTGAGGCCAGCCTGGTCTATATAGTGAGCTCCAGGCAAACTGAGGCTACAGGGAGACCCTGTCTCCAAAACAACAAAACAATTAGGCCTGGCAAGATGGCTCAGAGGTTAAAGATTCTTGCAACTAATCCTGGTGACCCGGTTTGATTCCCCAGGATCCACATCATGGAAGGAGAAAATTGACTTCCAAAAGTTGTCCTCTAACCTGCACGTGCACACACTAAACAAACAAATAAATGTAATAAAATATATTTTATTTATTTTCAGTGTGTATGACTGCAGGCATGCACATGTGGTGTGGAGGTTAAAGGGCAACATTTAGGAAAAAGAAACTAGGGCTTTTACCCACTGAGCCATCTCATGGACCCTGACATGTGTCCTTGAATATATGCACTGGCACTTTGATTCAGCTTCAGGGGGATCTTGAGCACAAGTTCTCCTGTGTCTTCTGCCCTTCTCGTCCCTCCTTCAGTGTGTGAGGCTGGGTGCTTTCTATAAACTGTATATTAGTTACTTTTCTGTTACTGTGATAAAACATCCTGACCAATAGAACTCAGGAAGGGTTCTATCAAACTTAGGGTTCCAGAGGGTTAGAGTCCATCGTGGCAGGGTAGAAAGCTGAGAGATCACATCATCAAGCAAACAGGAAGCAGAGACAGCAACTGGAGAGCCAGCAAGGCTTATGAACACTCGGAGCCTGCCCCAGTGATGTGCTTCCTCCAGCAAGGACACACCTTCTAAGATCTCCCAAAACAGTGCTACCAACTGGGACAAAATGTACAAATACTTGGGTCCTATGGGGAACATCCTCATTCAAACCACCCTACACCATATCACACCATTCCTGCAACAACCCAGAGAAAAATTCTTTTTAAAAATACTTTTATTTATTGGCCAGGCATGGTGGCACACGCCTTTAATCCCAGCACTCAGGGGGCAGAGACAGGTGGATCTTTGTGAGTTCGAGGCCAGCCTGGTCTACAATAGTGAGTTCCAGGACAGCTGGGGCTACAAGGAGACCCTGTCTCAAAAAAGACAAAAAACAAAAAAAACAAAAAAAAAACAAAAAAAAACCTTTTATTTATTTTAATTTCTGTGTATGAGTATATTGCTTGCAAGTATGTAAGTGCACCTGTGTCATGCAATGCCCACAGAAGTGAGATGAGGGAGTCAGATCTCCTGGAACTGGACTTATAGAAGGTTGTTAGCGGCCATGTGGGTGCTGGGAACTGATCCCAGATCCCCTGCAAGAGCAGCAAGTGCTCTCAACTGCTGGACCATCTATCTCTCCAGCCACGGGAGAACATTCTTAAGAACATATGAAGACATTAAGATGCACAGCACCCAGCACTGTGCCTAGCGCACTCCACACATTGATTTGTCGCTGTCCTTATCCTCACAGGAGGAAGTAGAGTTGAGGGAATTGCTTGAGTCTGTCTGACTCCAAAGCCATCTGTACCCCACTCCTTGTCCCGGCTCCCCTGGGCCAGGTTCATCCCTGCTCTGGATTCACCTTCCTTATCCAGCCAAATGAAAGATTAGAATGGATTAAAGTTACTCAGTCAGCAAGCATTGAGTTGTCTCACTACTTCCGGATGATGTGATGGGGATGGACAGTTCTGTGATCTCAGCTGCTTGGAGTCACACAAACGGCATTTTTTTTTTTTTTTTTTAGCTTGAAAATAATAAACCAGCAAGTGGACTAACAGCCTTATAAAGCAGAATCTTTCTCTCCCCCTTCCTCCTTGCTCTACCCCACCTCTTGCAGAGTCAAAAGGGGACAAGGCCAAGTGGGTGTTCACCTGGCCCCTCATCTTCCTCCTGTGCATCACCATCCCCAACTGCAGTAAGCCCCGCTGGGAGAAGTTCTTCATGGTCACCTTCATCACTGCCACACTGTGGATTGCTGTGTTCTCCTACCTCATGGTGTGGCTGGTAAGTGGGGGCGTGGGGGGTGTGGGGGGTGGACTGGGCAGCCAGCTCCAGTTTGGCCTCCTCCAAGCAGCAAGGGTGACCTTTGGGCAGGTCTCTGGTCTCACTGACCATAACCTGTTTCTCAGTAGGACAGGGTATTAACAGAGCACTGTGGGCCGTGCTCTATACCCAGGAGTTGACACCGTGCCTTATTGCCTCTGTGGCAGAGGCAGGAATCGAGGAGGGAGATGAACCCTCACAAAGCTGCTCTGGGTGGGGTGGGGAGAGTAATGGCTCACCAGTGGTGTGACTGCTGGGCCTCTCATCTCCAGGGTTGCCGAGGGAATGTAAAGGAAAGAAATGGGGTCAGTGAGAGGGAACACAAGGTGGCTCTCCATGCCCCCTGCCAAGAAGCCCTCTTCCTATGTGTCAGGTGCTGGCTGACACTTTATAGAAAATCCTTCCTGTCCTCGTAACAACTCATGGGATAAGTATTTTTACTGTCCCCATTTTACAGATGGAGAAACTGAGGCATTGAGAGAATGAATGGATTACCCAAGGTTACATGAATAGGGAGGGCTAACAGTGGGATTCGAACCCAGTATAGGTCTCCCAAGCCTGTCAAGTGTCACTGGACAGAAGCTCTCAGGTGGACAGGAATTGACCCTGTGATAGTATGTGATAGCTCCCTGTATAAGCCTGTCACTGACTAGGCTCTGCTGGGCCAGGCTATGAAAGCCCCCTTCCCTGTGCTCTGTGTGCCCCCCAGATGGACCCCTCTGATCCCCTTCCTCTTCAGTAGGGGTCCTAGGAGCAACGTGAGAGGACATGGTTCCAGTGTGGCTGTGTTTCCCTTGTGAAGCCTACGGCACCTTATTACATCATTTCCTTTTCCTCCAATGCTGGAGGCCAGCAGCAGGGAAGGCAGGCAGGGCATGGGGCGGGGCAGGAGAAGTTTCCTGTGGGCACGGGGGCGGGGTCCCTTTCCCTTATCCCTGGAGGAAGGGTACAGGGTGGTGGGAAAGAAAAGGCTCTAGGGTGTCCTATGACAGGAATTTGGGTTTGGATTTCTTGTTTGTTGTGGCACTGGGGATCAAACTGAGGGCCTTGCATCTGCTAGGTAAGTGCTCACCACTGAGCCACACCCCTGGCCCATGAAGACACACTTGAATCCTAGTCCTGCTTCTTAGGATGATTAAAATTGGGCAAGTGACTCAGGGACTCAATTCCTTGAGCCAAGATGAGACCCTCTGTGAGGTGGGATAGACACCACTACCTCAGAACTGTTGTTCCCCAGCCAGCCTCTTCACATTTCCATTTTCCTCCCCAACCCAGAGTGAGAGCCTAGTTGTCAGGATCTGAATACCACATGGAGCATTTTGCCTGGGGAGAGGGCTTCATTTTCCTGTTCCCCTCTTAGCACAGCAGAAGAACTTGAAATACTACCCAAATCCCTGGAAACAGATGGCAATCAAAGATAGCTGCTGCTGTGCCTCAAATCCATTGAATTTCATATCTCCATTTTTTCCTGAGTAGAATTAAAGGCCAGCCCATCTTTACATTTTAAAGGAGCCAGTGGTTTTTCTTATTAAATTCTATTCCCCAAATATTACAAGTTTTAAAAGAAACAGTTATCTCATGACACTTGAACGGGCATGAGAATTGGGAAGATCAAATTAATGGATTTTTTGAAATTCTTTCTTCTTTAATTACGGAAAATGCCAGTACTGTTCAGTGAGTTCTCATTAGCAATGAGGTGGGACACTCCTGCCCTCCATAGCTCCATTTACAAATCTCACCTTTGTTTCTAAAGCCAGATCCTTGCATGGCTTGGCCTAGGGACACAAGAACCACCCTGCTGGGCCAGTCTGACCTGTGGCTTCCAACTTTGAAGGCCTTGGTTTGGGGAAATAAAACAGTCTTGCTAGTGAGCATGGATAAAGGAGACCCTAAAGGTGCATGTGTGCTCACCTTGACCTCTATCTAAGGCGCACCTGCCCTAGTGCCAGGTGCTTGTTTTCTTTATGCCGTGGTAAAGGTGCCATCCCCTGACCCACCACCTTTAAGGCTCTCACCTCCAAGGCTTTAGGAAGAAAGGATCGTGAATGTCAGGGTCAAATGGACAAACTTCCAAATGGATTGTCCCTTCCCAGCACAACTGGGAAAACTGAGGAATGAAGAAAAGCTCTGGACATGGTTCAGTTTACTATTCAAAGCCTCAGCATTGGGAGGGAGGCTTAGAGAGCTGGGGTTGGGGTCCAGGGTAGAGCAAGGTCCATGTGACATCGGGTGTGTGGGCATACCCACAAGCAGTGCCTGCCTTCTGTCCCTCAGCTTCTTAGCCATCTGGTTCAGTGGTTTAAAAAGAAGAGGCAGTCCTAGCAACTCCTCAATAGCTCAGTTACTGTCCTTAAGATGACTGGCATCACCTATTCAGAATTCATCAGTCACAGCTGGTAGCTTGTGGAGACACCTTTGGTGGCCAGAGTAAACTTGGTTCCGACAGATCAGTCCTCCCTTGTGTCCTTCCTTCCATGTCCAGGGTATACTGGCAGCAATTTCGACTGCCAGGGCCATTTCCGTAACCCCCACACGCTGACTATGTGCCAAGGCTGAGCCCGGCACTTGGGAGGCACCCTTAGTCTGGGTCTCTAAGAACACTGGAATTTGATCACCCTCCTTTTCTTGTGCCTATAGAATACAAACAAAGGGTGGAAGTAGAAGGAGACAGTCTGCCATGGCCGTGTGGTACAGGCCAGGCACTCGCTTCATGCTTTTCTCAGGTCACCCTTCCCATGGTCATTATTTCAAATGATGTTCATTGGCAGCCTGTGTGAATGAGCATTCAAGATCTTCACAAGCCTGTATGCTTTGACCCAGCAAGTCTATCTTTTTGAACTCCTAAGGAGGCAGAAGGACGGCAAGTCAGAGACGGACACACAGATACATTGATGGAGAGACTGGTGCACCAGCTGTCGGGTTGAAACATTTGGGTTGGAGTCCTTGCTCCTCTTGCTCCTCGCTTAGCAGCTGGTCCCCTGGGCTTTTTTTTACTTAACCTCTCTGGGATTCATTTGGCATAACAATAGTGTCCTCCTTACCAGTGAGCAGTAAATAATAGAGTAGGTAGGAGTCTCAAGGTGAGAGATCTCATAGACTAGGTGGTATGCAATAAGTCTGACCTCTTTTTTTCTTAACGTACACCCCCGGACAACGTTAAGGACACATTTGAAACAAACAGTGGTTTTTCAAACGTGGCTCCCAGACCAGCAGCCTCTGGATGCCAACCACCTGGGAACTCTGGGAATACAAGTTCTCAGGCCTTGCCTCAGAACTCTGGGGGTGAGGCCTGGTGGTCTGTGGTCCAGTAAGGGGGTTTTCTTTGTCTTCAACTTTGAGAACCAACCTGTTGATTCAATGTGTTAATAGTGGTTGTCTGGGGGTCTTAAAAAATGGTAGTTAACTGCTATTTTCATTCTAGTTTATAAAGTTTTAAAGCAATAAGTATACTAAATAATCAGGGAAAAAGAACACTCAAAAGATTTCTTTAAGAGGCTGGGGCTATCGGTCAGTTGGTAGAATGCTTTCTCACATGCATGAAGCCCTGGGTTCAATCCCCAGCACTGTGTAAACCAAGTGTGGTAGCCACACCTGTCATCCCAGCACTTGGGAGGCGGCGACAGGAAGATTAGAAGTTCAAGGTCACCTTCTGTTACATAGCAAGTTCAAGGCCAGCCTGGACTACATTAGACTCTACCTTAAAAACAGTCCTAAAAAAAAAAAAAAGCCCAGATTTTTCTATTGGTTACAATAGTATCACATTTAAGTTAAAAGCACACAAGGTAAAGCAAGTTTCCAGGGTTGTTCCACTGTGAGTTCGTCTCCCCACCCCTGGCCTCTTCTGCAGGTGACTATTATTGGATACACACTTGGGATCCCTGATGTCATCATGGGCATTACCTTCCTGGCGGCAGGCACAAGTGTTCCAGACTGCATGGCCAGCTTAATTGTGGCAAGACAAGGTATGGTTTCTCAGCACCTGTGGCCCTCAGCAACCCCTTGCACCCCCTCCCTCATCTTCTCTGTCCAAGTATAGTTGGCCAAGTCATAGCTCTTATGACCAGTCAGGTCCTACTAGAAAGGAGACCATGATATCTGGACATTGTTATTTATTAGATTCTATCACGGCATGACCACTGCTGCTGTGTGATTTTTCCTAGGGAGACAAGAACAAATGTCTATTCACTTCAAATAGGGCCCTGGCAACAGACCAATGAAACAATTCCACCCAAGTCTATCTTGATGAACCAGTCAGTTTATTAGGATTATTTAGGAGCATGGGTGGAGGGAGGGGTTACTTTCAGGAACATGGGTGAACTCAAAACAGACGCATGACTGCAAAGTGCCCCCCACCCCCATCATAGGTGATGGTATCACAGAACACTGTGGAGTCTTCATTCTACTTAAACTCCTTCCAGCCTCCCAGCTGCATAAGGCCTTGGTGAGAGGGGACACTAGAGTCTATAGACATGTGCAGCTGAGAGGCAGGAGAGAGTGCTGGGTGGAGCCCCAGGTGAGGGTCTGGTAACCTCCCTCCTCCCCTGCTTCGAATGGTTAATGCCCCATTGCCTTTACCATAGACCTGTCAGTACTGTTCTGCTTGTTTCATTACCATCACTACAGGCAAGGTTGTCTCTGCTCCACGATGGGTATGGGATGGTCTTGTTATGCCCAGAGGAAAAAACGATATTCCAAGGATTACTAAGATGAACTCCCCTAGATCTTTGGAAGTGTTTGCTGAGGTAGTTGTATTTAAACAGACATGTCCTTTGAGTAATAGTCAGTGTGAGACAGGACAGAGCCTCATCCTAGACATCATATTGCAAATGAACCAATACCTTTATTAGTAACTTTTGTGTTGCTGGACCAAAATTCTTAGCAAAAACAACTTAAAGGAAGAAAGCTTTATCTTGACTGGTGGTTTCAGGAGATTTCAGCCCATTACAGCAGGGACTACAGGGTGAAGCAACTCAGTCCATGGTGGTAGATTTGTGTGACAGTGACATATGTGACAGTGGCATACTGGTGAATCAGGAAACAGATAGCAAGACCAGAACCAGGGGCTGGGAGTAGTGACCTACTTGTAGCAGGTAGGCCCCACTTCCTAAAAGCTCCACAGTATCCCCAAATAGTGCTACCATCTGAGCAACAAGTGTTCACAGAACATGAGCCTGTGGGGGACACTATAGAGTCAAGCCATAACAAATGAGAAGTGTGCCCATCCCAGGCAGGCATTATAGGTATCCTGTGCATCAACTCTTTCCTGTTCTCCCAACTTCCAGAAGATGTGCAGTGTTTTGCTTGCTTTGTTTGGTAGTTTTAGTGACCCAGGTCGAATGAGGAGTGACTCATGGTCTTCCATGGCAAAACAAGAGCTACAGAATCTGGCCTTGTACTTTGCTGCCTCTCGTTGCCAGGGAGACAGCATCCCAGAGTGGCCTTGCACAGGTCTTCCTGGTAGGCGGCAAGCATTTGAAAAGTACAAGGGAGCGGGAGGCCAAAGGGTACATGTAACCTCAGGAGACAGGAGAAGAGGGTAGTGCCAAGGGGAAAGGTTGGCTCCAAAAAGAAAGGTAGGGTGATGTGTTCCTCCAAGACAGGAACAGGGTTGAGAAGATGGCAGGAGGCGTGAGTGTGGTGGGCAGGTGCCTGACAGAGAATGAGGGCCACAGGGGACAGACGCTGCGGGAAATGGAGTTTAATTGAGTGGCCTTTGACATCAGTGTGGTTGCTTCCTAAGGCAGCTTAACACAACCGAGCTTAACTCACAGGTCTGGGAACTAGGAGCCTGACAGCTGGTGCCTGCAAGGGCCTATTTACTCTGCAGGTTCCAACCAGGAGGGGTGTGCGTGATTCTCGGGGTTAACTGCGGCTCTTCGGCATACCTGGCCCATAGCTGTACGCGTGGCTCTACAGCCACACTTCCTTCTGATAGGGACAGATGTTGATGGATTAGAGCCAACCTAATTCAGTGTAACTATATTTGTTTGTATCTATAAAGACCCTAAATCAAGTCGCAGTCTGAGGCCCTGGGTGGACATGAATTGGAACAGAAAGGGGGCAGCTCCTTAGGCAACTACAGTGAGGAACCTGGCTGAATTTCATTAGCATAAACCTGGAGAGAGTCAGTCATGTGCTCTGGGTGACACATTTGCCCCCACCTGGGTGGACACCAGCAGAGGGCAACAAGACAAGAGAATGTTTAAACACATGTGGTGGGGGATGGCGGGAGGTAGGGATTGCAGTACTAGAAGCTTCAGGGTTTGTGGTCCCAGTGAGTTCAAGGAGAGGTCTCCTTTAGGATCAAGGGACAAGTGGGGTTCTGTAGTAGGCTACTGTCTCAGAATGGCTACAGAGTAAATATGAATGAGGCGAGGGCTTGGGATACACAGTTGTCATAAGGTGGCACTGATGTAGTTGACAGACTCCAGCAGACATGGTCAGGGTGAGCAGATTCTTTATGACAAAGGGTTTCAAACCCTGTTCAGAGTCAGCTGCCTGAGAGGCTACCACACAGGTGCTCTGACCGGAATTTCTGCACCTGGGCCTCTGTATAGGCTCCCAGGTCAAAGTGTGGCCTGGCAGGCACTAATAGGGAACTCACCACACTCAGACCCTCAGGCCTGTACAGCCCTGCTCAATCAGGATATTCATGTTACAAAGGCTCTGGGTGACAGTGTGTGAGTCATACTGCCTGCAGGCTCCTCCAAGGGTCACATTGCTGCCCAACTTAGTGCACAGTTCAGGGAGTCCCCTGAGAAGCACTTACCTGCTCCTCAGCTTGTCTTCAGCTTGTCCTCACCATGTACGAGTCACCAGTCCCAAACAGTCACTGCTCATTCCTTCACGCTGCCAGAGGATGGGAGCCTGGACCTCACAGGCCTAAGCTGCCAAGATTCTGAAGTTATTCCCAATGGTGCTGGAGATTGGCAGGGAGAAAGACTTTGGGAGAGGTACATGCTAGGGGTCAACAGAAGACCAGAGTGAGAATGGAAGAGAAGGAATGACCTGGCACAGTGGTGGGCAGCACAGATGCGGGCTACCAGTCCTGATGCTGGTCGGACTTGCTGTTGAACGTCACAGCTACCAAAGTGACATTATGGCTATAGATATTTGTGATATAGACTTGTTCCTTCTGCCCCTGATTTCATGGGTCAGATTTCAGCCAGCATGAGTCTTTTCCTAAAAGTTGCTCTGACTCATGATCCCAACCTCAAGTGAGGAAGTGCCCCAGCTGTGTGACCAATAGGATCCTGACAGTGGGACAGGAAGGGAAACACTAACATGGCTTCTGACCTCTGACTGGAAACAAAAAGGTCACCATTCAGAAATCACCAGAACAGAAGATCTGGTACTCTATGATCCCAGCCAAGGTCATGGGTGCCTGGACACAAGCACACATCGTGGTTTGGTAGAAAGGATACTTGGGGGCTGGAGAGATGGTTCAGTGGTTAAGAGCGCAGACTGTTCTTGCAGAGGACCTGAGTTGAATTCCCAGCACCCACGTGGCAGCTGACAACTGTCCCTAACTCCAATTCCAGGGAATCCAACATCCTCTTCTGACCTCTACAGACATTGTACGACACGGGTGCACCTACACACATGCAGACAATACATTCATATACCTAAAATAAAAATAATTAAAAGAAAGGATACTGGACCACTAATAAATTAGATGTTCTTGGTCACCTGCCATGTGAATATGGTGTTCCCTACCCAGCTAACTAGGAGGACCAAATGAGACAGCTCCTAGTGGGTCCTCTAGAAGGGCAGCTCACAGCCTGGAGGGAATAGAATGGAGGGCCCTGTGTTCCTTTGCTACAGCTGGTGTTAAGACAGACTGGGGTGGTGGGGAGACAATGAATATTGATCATTTCACATTTCTGAAGGCTGGAAGACTAAGGTGTGGGCAGGGATGGCTCCTAAGTGACTGTGTGTGAGAATACTTCTCTCCCAACTCTCCTTGGCCACTGTTTTCCTCACACAATTTTCTCCCATGTCTGTTTTTCTTTTTCTGAGAGCACCAGCCAGGTTGGACCAGGCTCTGCCTAAGCCTCATCTTAACTCATTACCTTGTTAAAGGTCCTTCCTCCAAATGAGGCCACATCGAGCAGTGCTAGCATGGGGTTAGGACTTCTGTGAGTGAATTCAACACAAAAGAGAGCCCTTAGGTTTCATGAAAGAAGGGTCCATGAAGAAGGAATCCCCTTCTATTGAACCGTACAGATAGAACAATTCCAAGCAAGAGGATTTCCTGAGACCAACTCTTGATGGAAGGATTATGTTGCTTGTTCCCCAGGGCTTGGAGACATGGCAGTCTCTAATACCATTGGAAGCAACGTGTTTGACATCCTGGTGGGGCTTGGCATTCCATGGGGCCTGCAGACCATGGTTATTAATTACGGATCCACAGTAAGTCCCTGGCACTTCCTAAGGAAGGGGTGGGGTGTTCAGAAAGAAGAGTAATAATGCTCACTCAATTCCAGTTCAAAGTTCTTAAGGGAACTTCTCCTTGGCACCTGTTTTCTTCGATGGCATCTAGAACAGTCTGGGGGTATCTGCAGGAGGGAACCCATGTTTGCTACATGTTCATCAGTGTCTCTTTCTTTTACCTAAACCCCACTAGCACCTGTCCCCATCCCAGGCCACTTCCTGAAGAACCAAGTCAAGAATTGAACCCATGACCCCCCCTTTGCTGTGGGTTCCTGGCCATGCCCACATGCTTATCCGAGGGACTCCTGCGTTTCCCTAAGGAGGGAATGAATACCCTGAAGCAGGCTGGATTTCAGAATGGACTGGCCTGAGCAGCTGAGAGATTCAGGGCCTGTATATTTTACTTTCCAGGTGAAGATCAACAGCCGGGGTCTGGTCTATTCTGTGGTGCTGCTGCTGGGCTCCGTCGCTCTCACTGTGAGTTTTTACCATTCCAAAATAGAAGCTTCATGTTTCACCCAATTCTGCCTCCTCATCAGCCTGACTCCACACACCTTGCAGTGAGGAATAATGTCTAAGAGCAGGGTATAGTCAAATATACCCCAAATTCATTTTTTGCAAGAGCAACTGCAACTACCATGAAGTTCCTCCTGAGTTGATAAGATGTTACCCGTGGGCTTGAGAGATAGACCCATCAGTTAAACACAAGGAACTGAGAACCCATGTAGAAAAAAAGGGGGAAGAGCCTTGGTGGTACATACTTAGAATCCTAGCACAGGGAAAACAGAGACAGGCAAATCCCTGAGGCTCCGCCAGCCTAGCCAAGTTGGAAAGTTCCAGGTTCAGTGAAAGACCCTGTCTCATAAAGGAGGTGGATAGCACTTGAGGAATGACAGCTGAGATTGTCCTCTGGCCTCCACACACACCTGCACACATGTGTACGTACACCCACATGCACACACAAAAGGATTCACTAGGGGACATATTACATTTCCTTTCTTGCTACCTTGCCCAGAGAAAAAGAAACACTGCCTGCTGAGCTGACAAATGGGGTACATGACATTAGAGTCCCACACCCAGGCCTATGTTTACATACTTTACATCTGTGATACTTCATTCAATCCTTACCACCCCTGATGACGGATGTCCTACCATTCCCATTTTGCAGAAGAAATGAGGCTCAGGAGTTAAGTATTTTGTCCAAGATCACAGAGTTGGCAAATGGCAAAGCTGGGATTTGAAGCCAGGTTGGTCTGTCTTGACAGCTCTGTGATCTGTGAAGGCAGCTGTGGTGCAGCCCTGGAAAGCCTTGATTCAGAAATAAGAGGGAGGAGGGGGAGCACCCTTCCTCCCAAACACATGCACACACAGCAAAGCATGGCCCAAGCAGAAGTTCACATGAATGGCTCAGCTGAGCCTGGGAAATCTGCTGAAAGAAAACTGATTATGATGCCAAGTTCTGAGGCAAAGGGGAAGGCCTGCTTTTCCTTAGAGAAGGCCATGGGGAGGACACGTTGCACCCTGAGGAAGTGGCCTGTCTTCTAGGGGAGACCAGTGCCATGAGGGTAGCCACTGAGAATTTACCATGCCCTGAGACAAGTCTCAGGGTCTGGTCTCCACTGGATCAGAATCTTGTCTGCATTGTGTAGAAAGTTCTGGAGTTTACTGTGCTATTTTTCAGTTCAAAAGGCCTTTGGGTCTCTCGGTCCTGCCGAGCCCAGCTTTTCCACTGTCTCCTTCCAGGTCCTTGGCATCCACCTCAACAAATGGCGGCTGGACCGGAAGCTGGGCATCTATGTCCTGGTCCTCTATGCCATCTTTCTGTGCTTCTCCATAATGATAGAGTTTAATGTCTTTACCTTTGTCAACTTGCCCATGTGCCGAGAAGATGATTAAAGATGAGCCGCTGCCTGGGAAACTGCCATGGCCACTGTGATGCTGGCGTCCTCTCTCCTTCCCCATACAGGTCTCTCCTGCCTTGGCAGCTGCCAGCAATTCTTTTGTGAGCTGGAAGGAAGGGCCATCTTGGTCCTTGTCAGGTCACGGGCCAGGCTGCTGAGCATCTGCCCCAGCAGGCAGGGTCTGGCCATTATTTGTGCAGCTCCGCAGACTCCTGGCTGCCAGCCACAGGGATGTTGAGTGGCTCTTCTCTCTTGCATACTTTAGTCAAAAGGACTTCTCCATGCTGTTTGTCTTGCTGTTACATGAGCAGCCTTGGAATTACATGAGCAGCCTCAGAAATGAGTCAGTGAGTGAACAGGGTCTCCTGAATGAGTGCAAAATAGGGCTGTGGTTGGCAAGTATCACCTCTGGGCCTGGAGGAGGCAGCTCATGTCACCTCACCGAGAGCCTCTGACTCTGCCTGAACACTCGCAGCGTGAAGGAGGCAAGATGGCAACCTGTCAGGGCTTGAGACCACACTGGCAGTCATAGGAAAAATAGGAAGGATGGAAACACTATTTCCTAGCAGAAGAAAGAAGAGCAAATGAATACTGTTATCCTTTTTTATTGATATATTTGGAGAACAAGCAATGAAATATTAAAAATAAAATGTTATATATAGGTCATCATACTTGAAAAATATCATTTCACACAAAAGGATCATTGAAGGGGACCAAAAGGTTCCCCTTGGAGAAAAATGAATCCTATGTGTGTCATCTTGTGCTGGCTCTGAGACCATTTGGTTTGGAATATAGAAAAAAAAGGTGGAATTCCACATGGAAACAGGTGCTAACTCGGAGACATGGTGGGGAATGTAGTTACGGCTACACATCCAGACCTTAGGATGCCATGCACCATCTGTTCAGGTTTGTGACTTTTCTGTTAACACTCTGGGTTCAAAGCCACCCCATTGAAAGACCCAGTCATTTATATGCCCAACCAATTGCACAAGTGGCAGTTAATGACAAAGAAGAGGGATCTCTGGAAAAGCAAAGAATCACTCTCTGGTCAGCTGAAGCCAAGAATGAAAACCATATCTTAGAATTTTTAGAGCTAAGTTTCTTGAACCTTAGAGTTTGCTAAGCATGCAAGGCCAGGGATGGGAGATGAATTCAAAAAGGAAAAATATGAAACGATGTTTGACTGCTTTGTAGCTCTGAAACACGTAACAGATTTATGAACATAAACCATTCCTGGGTTCTAAAGAGAAAGCACAACTTAATTTTATATAGATTGTGGGTTTTTATTTTTTTAATGTTTCTATTGCAAAAGTCTATTGGATATGATGCACTTTTAATACTGAGATACTTTGCACAGTAGAAGGCATGGGGATGATCCAGGATGATGAGAGCAGAAAGGTGGTTATCGATTCACTGGAAATTGAATTTGCTTTAACTTGGTGGTGAGCATGAATCCAATAGCTGGTCCCTCTGGGCCTGTGGTGGAATTGGTAGTGATGCTCTTTAAGGCCTCCTTCGAAGGAGGAAGTGTTCAAGCTTGTGTCCCTTAAGTTCCCTTAAGCATGAACTATGATGGGACTTGGCTCCCATTACCAACCTTCTATTCGGGGTTCACATCAGTATTAACAGCTGTACTCTGTCAAGGCTTCACTTTCTGTTTATCTAGGTATCAAGTTCAGCAGTCTTCAGTGAGACAGCAGTGATTTCCCTTTAAGAAAAAAAAAAAAAAAAAAGCAAAGTGGGAGGGGGGGAGCCTGAAGGTGCATAAATATAAACTAGGCTCAAAGAGGGTTTCAATCTGCCCGATCAACATACATGCAGCTAGTATATTCATTTAAAAAAAAAAAAAAAAAAAAAGCTAAGTGGGAGGGGAGGAGCCTGAAGGTGCATCAGTATAAACTCAGCTGCAAGAGGGTTTGAATCTGCCCTAGTACTTGGTTCACCTGGCAGACACCCCCCCCCACCGTTTCATTCAAGGCGCAAGCTCGCTCTAGTGCTTCTATTCCCCCTTTGAGCTTCTCAACTACCCTGTGATGTAAGTAGGGACTATTATTATTTCATTGGCAGTTTAGTTTGAGAGGTCAAGTGCCTCTCTCTAGTTTAGTGTCAGAATGTAGCAGAGTTGGGGTCAAAGATGGCCCATTACCCCTCCCCACTTAGCCAGTGCACCAGATTGGCCAGCCCAAGTGACATGGCTGTGACTTTGCCCTTGGGGTTGGATCTTACTGCTTGGGTTAAAAAAACTCATCACATATTTAATTGACCCCTAAGTTTCCCAGATCATAGCCTCATATCTGTCCTTATCAAATGTCCCTATTTTTCCCTGATAAAAAGACCAAAAAATATTTTTAGGTATGGTAAGGCACAGGCCACAGCCTCTAAAAATGTCCCTGCTGGCTTTCAATTCTCTGAGTCCCTGCACAGCTTCCAAAGAACATCCCAACTGTGATCCTCTTCCGACACAGAATCCACTTGCAGCTGTAAAGTATCCTGTAGCTGCAGTTAGAAACTAAAAATTATGTTTTCAATGTATAGAGCTAGTTTTCTTTGGACTTTAATGTGCCAATGTTCCTCAAAGGCTCTCGACATTTATTATATCTAGGAAACTGCACACTGTAAAGTGAAAAGTTCTCTGTTTTAAACTAAACATTTTTTTCCTATCACGAGTTTAAAGACTCGCTTGATAATCTAGGCCTTCGTTTTTATAATCATGTTGCCATTACTATGCAGGATTACTTCCTTTGTTTTATCCCCAAAGCTAAATTTGCATGGGATAATAGCTTCAGCTACAGAAAATAGACAATTAAAAGAGTACACTTAACTCTTCTCATTGAAGGAAAAAATGAGAGCCTAGACCATTATGTTCCGATGGAAGAGCATCGGTAGAAGCGAAGAGGGAGAGCTAGTTCCTGGCCCATTTCTGGTTTGTAATCTGCCCTTACCAGTCCAGGCATTAGGGTGTACAGAGGGTAGGATCATGGGAACCTGGCCCTGAAAAAAGTTCTAGGTCAGCTGCCATGAGAGACTGAAAGTATGCGGCCCAGTGCTCAGGTCAGCCATGCCCCACTCCTCTCCTTCCTTTGTACACCCCCCAGCTATGGTCTCCTGGCATCTGTGTTTCTGCCCCTCACCCCCTGTGCTCCACCTTGTGCACAGACCTGAAGCCCCTAGTGTATTTTCGCTGGCGCGTTCCCCTCTTCACCTGTGAAGGCTTTTTGCTTTTGTCCCACTAGTGCCCTGTCCTTATAGACTCAAGCTGATAAGGCGCTAGCTTTCCTTCCCTGAGCCAGTCTCAACATGTGGGGTACACATCTTAAGGGAAGTGCTGCAGACCCCAACCAAAGACCTGCTTTCAGGATGCCCAAGGTCTAGGTGTGCTGTACCTGTTCTTCCCTGGTAGAGGACCTGCAAGCCTAACCACAGCAGCTGCCCACACTCAGAGTCCCAGGTTCCCAGCAGAGGAAGCTTGGAAAGAATATGTGCATGCCTGTCCTGGGTCTGTTTCCCTGTTCCTTCTCCTCTCTGACTACTTTAAAGGATTGCACTGGGGCAGCCTGCCGATAGAAGCTAGAAGGACAGAGACAGGCTTGGCTCACTCCTGTGCAGGACAGCAGCTCTGCAGGGCCCTGGAGGCTGCTCTCTCTGCCCCTCCCTATTGCCTAGATGTGAAGTGTGGCCAAATGGATCAGTGACGTTCTAGATCTGTGGCCTCCTTTTCCACCCTGGATTTTTCCTTGGGGCATCAGCAATGAGCAGTAGGCACCTTTCAGCCCACTAAGCAACTGGTACCCACTGTACACTATGCCCCAACCCTGCCTGGGCCACTGGGAAAGGCTTGGTCCCTTCTCAGCCACCTGCCTTCCCCTCCCTTGTAAGTGACTCTACCCTACTAACTGGAAAAAAAATGGTTGTGCTGTGCATGCGAACAGGCTTTTGGCAAATACTTGATGTTGAGCAACAAAGAGCTTGGTTAGGGTAAAAATCACCAGGAGACTGCACCTATCACAGGCTTTAAATACATGCCGAGGATGCTCTGATGCTTCTGACATGATCTCCATGGGAGCCATCCTTGGGGCAGTGAGCAGATGTGACCAGAACACCTGAGGGAGTCCGCATCAATGGCTTGGATGCCATGTTGTCTCCATAAAAACTAGAAATTTCTGAAAATGCTCTCTGGAGAGTGCTAGAGTAGTAAGAAGTTCCCGATCCCACCCATCCAGTACCCATGGCCCTTATTCCCTGAGCCCAGAACCCTCTCTCCACCCGAGAACTCGCCAGAGGGCACCACTGGGTTCTCCAGGTGAGCATTTTCCTCCTTGGCGCTCTGCAGCTTGCCACATGACAGGAGCCCTTCATGAGTCACACACCCCCAACCAGGCTTCCTTGGAGTTCTGAGAAGGGGCCTTTCCTGTTCTTTGGACAACTCTTCCTTACCGTGTCAGTTGTGTGGGAACAAGAGAGGAAAAGAGCCTTTTGTGGGCTCCCCCCACAGGGCGGAGAAGGTGAGATGACCCCCCTCCACCAACCTTGCTTGCATAAGGCCTTCATCCTGCTGCAGAGCACTAGTCCCCAAAAGGCATGTATAAACAGGGTGTGGCCAGCAGGGGTATCCAACTTTTGGCTTCTCTGGGCTGTAGTGTCATCTGCAAAGTTTACACTCAAGAACCATGCAGTCGTGTTACCAAAAGAGAAAAAATTCTCACAATATTTTAAGTTTACAATTTTGTGTGGCCCATAGGCAGGCTATGTTTTAGATACCCCATGAAGGTTGTCACTCATTAATAAAGACAAACTGGGATGCTAGTTTCGTGATTTACTTCATGTTTGACATGGACCCCCCGTCCCCCGGGCACAGTGCCACCTGGTGCAAGCAAATGCACGCTTTCATGAAATTGGGAGAAAGGACACTTTTTTCCTATTGTGTCACTGAGGTGGGGCTGTCAATCTAGGGAAGCCAGCTTCAAGGCCTGGGAGCTTTGATATTCTATGGTGGCTTTAAAAGTTCTAGCTTTTCAACTGTCTTTGTCTTCCTGTTTCCACCCACCTCTGCCAATTCCTCAAACACCTACAGATTGCTGGGGATTCACAGCCCACTTTTACCCTGTGTCTCTCAGGCTCTTTTTCCACTTTTACAGTTAAGGTGTCCAGTTGTCCAAGTTGTATAGCTTCCTTCCACTCAGTAGGAGCTGAAAACAACCTCTCCTTTAGTCTGCCCTGGTGCAATCCTGGGGCCTCTGGGTAGCATCTCTCAGAGTTGAACATGCTGCTGCTTTGAAGGTCAAGGCTATGACTGTGTGGTTTTTCCATCCATTACATTTATAAGGGATGGCTTCTTGTTTTTCAACACATGATACAGACCAGCATGACCCACACCTCTTCCCACAATGCTTCCATAATTCAAACAGTGGCTCCTTGGGCACCATGCTGGTTGGGACTTTTCCATTCATGAGCCCTAGAAAAAATCCTGGGGAGAGTATAGGTCCTTCTTACTCTACCCCTAGAAAACAAGGTGTTTAAGTTATTAAAAGAGAGGACCATGTGGCTTTTGATTTGGTGTGATGCTACAAAGAGTCCTAACAACACCTGTCCCTCATCACTCCAGAATTCCCAATAGGAACTTTTTGGGAAAAGTCTCCAGAGAAGACTCATGGCCCCCTTCCAACAGGAGGCTTTTTTCCTTCTGAGCATGACTGGGACTCAAACAAGGCCACTCTGTTCCTCCAAGTGAAGTACTCTGTGGATAGTTTCTGGTAGCTGGGTGTCCTGCCTCACCTTTAGTCCCTGCCTCTCTGAGCTGTGGACCCCATGACCACACTTCTGGTTCCTTCCAAGTGACTTACACTAGCTGTATTTGGGGACCTAGCAGACAGCTGTTGCTGGCTCTTAGAGAATCCCCAGTTGAGGGGTGCTGCAAGTCTGTGAGGCTGGGTATGTCATTCAATTCAGAGCACACTCTGGCAGGGTGCCCCTAGGTCTCTAGAGTCCTAGCTGATGTCTGAACACAAAGGCAGCTTTGATTATATAAGAGACAAGGCTGCCAGCCAGCTGGGCCAGGGGCAGAGGCAGGACTGCCAAGGCAAGCTAGGCATGGAGAGGGCAGACACATCCAAGATGCCAAGGGGCAGGCTGGGCAAGGTTTCCTCGGGGGATCTGAACCTTTCTAGGGACACAGCCTTGGCTTGCCAAGTCATAGACAGGTGGAAACAGGAGAGTCGTGGGTCCTGAAAGAACCTCCTTGAAAACATTCTAAATGAACTGCTGAGGCCATTCATACATCATGTGCCCACCGGACATTGTAGCATGCTGGGCTGAGCACCACCATCTTTGTTCATTCTAACGGGCAGAGCAGGAGCAAGGGGTTGGGAAGCTGTACATAATAAATATATTTATGCCGCTATTTATTTTTTCAATAACTGTGACCTCCTGCACTGTGAATGCTCCGTGATATGAGACTCTTAGTTTAATAAAATTGTCATTAAATTTGAATGAATTGATATTATTGGTTCCTAAACACTGGCATGAATTTACTTTTATTGTAAAGAAAAAAAATCTAGAGTAAAACATGAACTAAACCTTTATAAGAAATCTAGCAGTCAGTATTGTAATGCAATATATCAAAAATCTGTATACCATCAATAAAATTAATGAGCACAAGTTGTCTTTCCCCATATAGAGCTTCCATTCACATTGTCATAGACACAGACTTGTATTTTTTGAAAGAATTACACTGGGATAACAGCCATTGGAAACCATTTCTATT